CCCCACCCCGGTTCCCCCAGAGGAACCACCCCGGTTCCTCTGGAGAGCCTCACCTGTCGGAGAGGATGTCCAGCACTCTCTCGGTGGAGGTGAAGGACCGGTAGGTGGACAGGAAGATGGTGATGAAGGAGGAGTCCCCCATGGCGAAGGAGTGCAGCAGGTGGAGAACCAGCTTCTCCTCGGTTCCCGCTTTCACGCACTGGGAACGAGTCACCGCCGACTGGGAGAGGAACAGGAGAGATGCTGAGACACGGAACCTCCGGTTCCCCCGGAGGAATAAACCAGGTTCCCTTAGAGGAAAAACCCTGGTTCCTCCAGAGGATCCACTCTGGTTCACCCGGAGGAACCACCCCGGTTCCCCAGAGGAAAAATCCTGGTTCCCCTGGAGGAACCACCCCGGTTCCCCCAGAGGAACCACTCTGGTTCCACCAGAGGAACCCTTCTGGTTCCCCCAAAGGAACCACCTTGATTCCCCAAAAAGAACCACACCGGTTCGCCGAGAGGAAAAACCCAGATTCCCCCAGAGGAACCACCCCGCTTTCCCCCAGAGGACCCACCCTGGTTCCACCAGAGGAACCAGAGTGGTTCCCCCAGAGGAACCACCCTGGTTCCACCAGAGGACCCACCCCGGTTCCACCAGAGGAACCACCCTGGTTCCACCAGAGGACCCACCCTGGTTCCACCAGAGGAACCACCCTGGTTCCACCAGAGGAACCACCCTGGTTCCACCAGAGGAACCACCCCGGTGGGAACCTACCAGTGGGCTGTTGGGGGCCCCGTGCGGCTGTTTGACCACCACGGTGTAGATCACGCCGTCCTCCTCCTCCTCCACCACGGTGGACTGCAAAGAGAAGAAATCCCTTCCTATTATGGCTCCCCAAACACATCCGGAGTAGGGTTTTCAAAAGAATCGATACTAAAAAGAGTATAGATACTAAAACGTTGTATCCGGATACGATACCCATTTTCAAAAGTATCGATTATTGCCGTTAGCCACAGCTAGCAATTCAAGGCTAACGTCACGTTAATGATCATAAACAATGGAAATGAATACATACATACATACATACATACATACATACATACATACATACATA